AGTGTTATTTTTCTCTGTTGATCAATATAGGCTTTAACTATTTTGATTTTTACTTGATATTTCTTGTTCATTTTTACAGTCCTTGTTGTAGAGCCACCTTATTTCTGAATATGTTGACTTCGGCATTTAAGTCGGTGATCTTATTGTTCATCCATCCAAAATCGTATCGTTTTTCTTCTCAATTGTTAGTTGATCAAAATGGATTGTCAAATCATATGCTTTTTCTTTTTGTTTTTTGTGTTGTCTAAGGTATAATCGACATTCTGTAAAGTCTGATTTTTAATTAACAATGTAAAAAATAAACTATACATTTAGTTTTTTTAATAATCAATAGCTTTTTTTTGAAATAATTGTTTTTTATTTTTGACTTTTTAACCAAATTATACATCCAAAAGGGAAAGCAAGAAATGTGAAGATTGTATTTTTTTCCTCTGGCATATCTCCAAGTAATATTAACACAACCGGCAGACCATTTACGATAGTTAACCACAAAAGTGTTATTGTTGTGGTGTAGTAAAAAGGTGAAACTGATTGATCTGAATAGCAAAGAAAACGATTGACAACATTTCTTTGAGAATACCATACGGTAAAAACAAATAAAAATTTACTATGTATTTATGGTTTTTAATTAGCGATGGTCGATACTATGTATTAAATATAAAAAACAGAAAAAGTAAATTTCCTTGTTGTATTTTTAAAAATTGTTAATTAGAAATCAGACTTTAATTTGGTTTCTTTAGAGTTTCCAATATCATCTATATTGTAACTTTCGATCACAATACATCTAATTGTGACCAAATATAAGCGGTTCTGATATTTAACACAATCTTCTTTTTTCAATGAAAATGAAGTTGATGCATCGGCTAGAAGTTTAAATAATGAGACCTCGCCTTGGGTGTTTTGACTTGATCTTCCATATTCTTTCTTTTATCAAATTAATGAACGAAATCTTTTTGACTTCAGCGCCATCTTTTCGTGTGGGTTAAGCGCCAAAAATAGTTAACCACAATCATTGTAGAATTTTTTTTCTACCAAAAGCGAGTTTTATCATTCGCCAAATTCTTCGAATTTTTTAGATTTTGTCGTTATTTCATTATTATTTTCGCGGATTTTTTCGCAATTTTTAACTATTTCAAGTTCTTCATTGGTTTTGGTATTTTTTTATTTTCTTTTCATGACAATACAAGAGATTGTATTTTGGCACGCAATTCCATAACCATATTGTTGCTTGCATTAACAGTGTCATTATGCTTCTTTTTGACACGCTGAATATGTTGCGTTAAATTTACAACAATCAATATGCATTCGTTTTTAAATAATTGAAGTACTTTTGAAATTGGTCAAGTACAGCTATGCCCAATTGATTGTTGGAGAATATAAATTTCTTACTCACAGCGCTTATTGCTTTGTCAAGAGCAGCCTTTTTACTTTCTGTATTATTTAATTTGGCATCAATAATAGATTTAGATTTATTGGTATTGTCATTTTTATTTTTAAAGTGTAAACCATTTCTTTAAATTTGTTTATTTCTTTTATTTATTTAATGTTTGTTTTAATTATTAGCGATTAATTGATTTTTCAATTTGTTTATTTATAATATGTTGTTTTTATAATAATTTATAATAATAAATGTGTTATCGTTTATATTTAAATAATTATTAATAAATTATATCTTAAAATAATAAGTTTGAGCAGTGAATCAAACCTCAAGTGAAAAAGAATTATTTTAAGAAAAGAAAAATGGCATTACACATACAGGAAAAACCAGGGACCAAATCATAAACCAGGGACCAGACTAAATTATAGTTTTATTTTTGGTATAAAGTTTCCTTGTTAAAGAATAATCCCCAAATAATCGGGGTTTTGGAGGATATGTTGGTTTATTTTTAAAAAACAGGGACCAACTATTAATAGACACACTGTTTTTTGAATAAAATAGAAAAAACTATAAAATATAAAACTTTTAATTAATCATTCAGAGTTGTCTTATTTGTTATAGCCCAGCCGAGCAAAAGAAAAGTTTGTTCTTTATATTGATTTATATTCCGTTGTTTAATACATTTAATAATTATCAATCATTTACTCAATGTCTAACATTCCAACAATTTATTTATTATTTACTTTATTTTCATTTATTGAGTGAGTCACTTTTAATGCTGAACAAAAAAATGACTCATTGAATCAACCGAATGAATAGAGAAAAATTCATTGGTGTCTTTGAAGAAAAATGAATGAACGTTTTAATTGAATGGTTGTGTTGAAGTTAAACAAGGTCGAACAAAAGGAAGATATATTTATGTTTAATCATTTTTGTTTAAAATCAGAATAAAGTCGTTTTTATTTAAAAATATCATTTTTGTTTAATGTATGAAAAAACCCCAAAAATAAAAAACAATATATTGTTTTATAGAATGTAAAGTTTATTTTTATTGTTTATTTTAATTTGTAAGTTTTATTACAAATTTAACATTATAAATTTGAAATAAAAAAATAATTAATTAATCCAAATCTGTTCTTTTTCTTTTTTTGTTAATTCTATTCAATAAACTGCTTAAAGAATGTCTTTTCTTGTACTTTCTTTTTATTTCTTCGTTTTTTACAATTTTAGATTCCATGGTTATTGGTTTCTTTGTTTCTTGTTCAATCTGAGCTCTTTGGTATTTTTCACATGGTGTTATTAACATTTTTTCATCATTTTGGGGTTCTTCTGCTAAAATTAAATATTCTTTTTCATTTTTTTCTTTTGGTGTTTTTATTTTTTGATTTGTTGTTGTTAAATAATCACGTGTATCTCTATCCAACTCTTCAACATTTTCTAAATCTTTCTCATCTTTTGGTTTATGAATTTTTGAAGATTGTATTTCACTTAATGAACTTGAATGATCACTGCTATAATTTAAAATATCATCTGTTGGTACTTCTTCATACAGTTTTTCTGATCCTAAAGAACACAAG